GGAATGCCTTTCTGACTTCCACGTGTCAATGCTTCCTTTATCTAATTACAGTTCAATAAACTGTTGTGTAAGTATGACCAGAGATGCCATGCACAAAATCTGTAAACCTCCTGAGTGAGAAGAGAAGTTGAAGTTGCTGACCAGCTCAGGAGGACTCCGTCTTAGATTCTGTGCCTGGAGTTGATTTCAAATTACTCAAGTAGCATGGCTTTTTTTCATGAAGATTAAAGCAATCCAGCATCCAGTCATATATTAACTACATTCAAATATGAAACAGTTAACTCCCTGCATGAGTTAGGAGAGCTTCAATTTCTATGAAAATAAAATAGATGTTCAATTCTGAAAATCAGGAATAAATAATTGATTCCTATAACTTCTTTTCTTGCTATGGCTTCAAAACAGAATTTTGGGGTGTCGGTCTGGAAGTTTATATTGGTTTTTACAATAAAAAATTGCAGCATGTTTAGGAATAGTTTTGTCAGTTACGATGAATTCTGAAAACTTGATCTTCAGAAATAAAATAGCTACAAAACAATTCTGCAAACTCAGTTATTTCCTTTAACCCATCTGCTTAAACTGAAATAATTTCAATAAATAATTTAAATAGGAAAACTGCTGCAATTCAGTTTAATTTTCCAAGTTATTGTTTGTTTGTATCTTCTTATATCTTTTTTTAATTTTAAATATCGCATATAAAGAAATAAAAGAGAGAAATGCTTGCCTGAACATTTTGAAATGGATTCTTGTTACCGTAGGACTCACTGAGGTATGTGAAATCATCTATGCTAAGCTGAAAAACAAAGAGAGTAGATTGGTGAGAAGGAGCCATGGCATCTCATTTAGGTACAGACTTGCACTTGGTATTGGTGAGAGAAAAGCAATTAATGTTACATACTGTGTCTTGCAGGAACAAGATGAGGTTTCTGGAATTCTGGGTAAAAACAGGTTGCAAAAGTACAGTCAGCTCACGTGCTGAGACAACGTGTCCTTCGTGCAAAGTAGTGTCTGGATTCCACTGCGATCTACAAAGAAAATTTTTTTTCTGTAAAATTTGCTGCCAATGATGACACCGCTTATTTCTTTAAATATGCAGCAGCAGGTAACGATATCATCATCTTCGGATTAAGATCAGGTTTACAGTTCAGTTTACTTTCAATCTACTCAAGAGGAAAAGAACTTGCCCATTTATGCCCATATCACGTTAACTGTGTACAGCAGG